GGGTCCCTTCAAGGCCAAATGTCCCTGAGTGGAAAAGGTCAACCACAAGCAAGAAATGATGATTGTCAAGCTGGAAGATGTATTTTTCTCAGATGCTTGCACGGTCTGCCTATTCCCAACCTCCACTATGCAATATCTTTTCCAAGGTTAGCAGAATTATTAAAACATCAATTTGGGCATTATTGCCTTTTCATCTGGGACACCGAGAAAGTGTTTCAGCAGCCTTGATAAATTAAATCTGACCACCTAGCTCCCAGACTGGCAGGTTCCTACATCATTGACAGAGAAGACAGGGGAAAGCAGTTTTCCCAGTTGTTGCTGTAAATGATGTGCATTGTGTTCACAACCATTAGCAGGTGGAGAATTTGAAGTGTGGGTAGATTGCAGAGCTGCCTCTTTTAAAAATGCATAAGCACTTTGTGAGTTTTCTAAGTCGTGCTTCACGCAGTCCGGTTTGAATTTTTCATAGGGGAGAAAGATTCTGTTGTCTTTCCTCTTTTATTCCTTCTTTGTCAGTAAGGACTTAGGGCTACAGTGGAAAGGGACCGAGTGTAATCATATAATTTCCTTGACTGGTCCTCAATTTTTCCAAGTTGTAAAATGTTGGAAGATTCAGTGTTTAAGGACTTGAGGCCATTGAGTTTCCTGCCGCTCACCATTTAATCCAAACTACAAATTTCCCTGGGCTCTGGGTTTAAATTTATTTGATGCGTCCTAAAGTAAATTTTTATCCTGGAAGACTCATCCATTTGTGAAATTCTAAGCACTGCACTTTGAAGGAACCTTCCTTCCAAAATGATCCCCTGGTCATATACTATGTTCCTGTCCAGTCCCAAATAGAGTCAGACATTATGAAATGCTCAGTGTACATTTTCCTGACGAGTCCAATTATAGCATCAGTGTTCTTCCCAACATGATGCTCCAGCCAGACCTAAGAATTGGTTTTATAGCGTGTTAGTGGAAACATAATCATCATATCTAACAAGCTCCTGATCTTTTTCGTTTATGTAGATCAGTGTCTGGCTTCTGGTAGAACAAATGTGGAACGTGTACACTGATTGAAGTGCGTATTGGATGCCACAAACCGTGAAACATCTTTACCTTCATTAACTATCTCATTTAATTTTCCTAAAACCCTTATGAGGAAGATACTATTACTAGCCTTATTTTTCAGATGACGAAACTGAGGCTCAGAGAGGTAAAGTAATTGATCCAAGCTGACATATTTCAGGGCCTGACTCTGGAGCCTGACATCTGTCTGCTACATTATCAACTTGATATAATTCAACACATGCGTCTGGCTCATTCATTTAATCATCAAACATTTATCAAACCTCTATTATGTGCCAGGCAGCAAAAGTGAAATCCAACAAATTCAGCAATGGTTTATTTAAAAATAAGGAAGAGCTATTAGGCTCTTTGACCGGCAACTAGTTAATACACCCCTCGAAAGGCAGTGGAGGTTTTGCTTTTTTAATATCAATAAATCAGACTTTCCTGGCAATGAAATGGCTTTCTCCCTATATCTGACTAATCAATTGTAACCTATTTTCTCCTCAAATGGAGAGATTTATTCCAGCCAGCATTGAAACCTCAGCAAATTGAGAACAAAAGTATGTTGCAACCTGAAGTACCAAGGTATTTAGGAGATCATATTTTGCTGTAATTGGGGGGATCCTAGAATACCTAGAGTTACAGAACATACCTTTCATAGACGTATTTACACTTTCCACAACAGGTGAGTACATGTCAGTGGGACTGCAAGGGCGAAAGGCTTTTCTGTGTTCTGGTTTATAACATCTGTCTGCTGTGGTTAAATTCTCGGGAAGAGGGTGATCAGCCAGGCACTGCTTCCAAAAAAGAAACAGCGTGGTTCTCTTCTCGCGTGTGATTATTTTTCAAATTTCATAATGACTCTTCACGAAGCACCTCCAGCTAGACTGTGTTAATCCCATATTCTTCCTTGATTTCAACCTAATATGTAGACTTCAGAAGCCATCTTATGAATTATCTTTCCAAAATAGTAAAACATTCAGATGTGCTCATTAAATATTGAAACGTGGTAGTATGACAAGCTCCACTAAAATTAATTTGTTTCATTTCCCTTTAATAGTGATAGCGCCTAGAATAAGTGGAAAGTAATACTTCTGTTTGCCTAGAAGGGGGTGGATCCCAGCTGACATTTAAATCCGTGATCATCCTGGCAGTCCAGGGAGGAAATAATGCATCTGTGCCAGGTTCTTGGCTTGGACAGATCTTGGAGGGCTGTGTGCAGTTTTCCACATGAATACACAGGACTCCCTCACATGACGGTGTTTGCGTTGTTAAAATGCCTTTTAGAAAAGCCTCAGGTTTCCCTCCAAGTCTACTGAATGGAATGACTTTCAGGGGAAGGTAACTGCTGGGCAGAGAAACACAGGCTTGTATTTCGACCGGTACAGCAGGTTTTATGGCCAAAATATTTTGTCGTCTTGTTTTAAGGTAATAGGAGTACTCCAGCACATCTCCTTCTTCTCCTTTCTGTCTTTCTCCTGTTCCCCTTCTTTCTTTTTTGTAAGGCTAAGTTCAATTTCTGAACTTTTCTCAAAAAAAATAAATAAATAAAACTAGATCAACTCTGGGTTGAGGTGATTACTTTTCCTTGGCCCAGTTAGCTGGAGCCATTTTTCCATGGAGTCATATTAGTATAGGGATGGTCAGGTTTGGAGAGGCAGAGGCAAAGTCTGCCTTCTGAAGGAGAAAAAACGTTCACCTCAGGGTCTGGGCTGGCAGACAGAAAGCATTTTCTGTTGCTGCTGTTTTCTGTTACCAGCTGGCACGTGTTGAACAGTTTCTCTGTTGCACGGGAGAGATTTGTTTGTAATAGCCTGAGATAACTAGGACATTACTGCTGTGGTGATTCCTTCTAGCTAATGGGATTGTTGCCTTTCGTTTAATGGGTATATAAGTACAGGAATACTCAGTCACATTTTAAAAAGTGGTTCAGAAGAGCAGGTATACGTGAGAGAGACTTTTGGAATTGTGCTTTACAGGGACTTTTTTTTTTACTATCTCAGGGGAAAAATGTATAAATTGCTATAAATATTTAAATCATTTAGCTATGTAGAGGGCAGGCATTGTAAAAGATGGCAGGATATAACTTTCCTAATGGTTTCCATTCTAGGGTTCCTCTACTTTGACCACATTAGAAATGACAATAAAGTGAGATCTTATTATCATGCGACTTATTATTTATGAGTATAAGATATAGTGCAAATCAAAACTAGGTCTCCTTTAAAACGTATAAACGTACCACATTATCCTTGTCCTCAATATTAGCATCATAAAGGGGATTGATTTCCCTTTTTTTTTTTGCGGTATGCGGGCCTCTCACTGTTGTGGCCTCTCCCGTTGAGGAGCACAGGCTCCGGACGCGCAGGCTCAGCGGCCATGGCTCATGGGCCCAGCCGCTCCGCGGCATGTGGGATCTTCCCGAACCGGGTCACGAACCCGTGTCCCCTGAATCGGCAGGCGGACTCTCAACCACTGCGCCACCAGGGAAGCCCTGATTTCCCTTTTTTTATGGCTTAAGTGCAATGAACTATATGAAGTACCCAGCGTATAACATATGATCAGTAAACAATATTAAACTCATGACTCCAAGAAGACTGTGGCTGTTCAGAGGGTGGAAGGCTGGGAGCAGTGACTTATGTTTAGGAAATTGCTTTGTGCCATAATTGTGGATTTCCTAGTTTAGGGAGCCACCAACTGAGTATCTGAAAATTGGCTCTGCCTCCAAATAGCTCAACGCAATGCTATGAATCAAGACTTAGGGAAATAGGGAGAGAGGAATTCACACTGGCTTGAATATATTGTAGTGGGTCATATAAGTGAAAGCTCATTGACAGGTCTAGCTTCAGGTATGGCTGGATCCAGGTATCTAAACGTTATTATTAGGATAGTATTTTAATGAATTTCTACACTGTGACTTGAGCTATTTTCTGGGAGGACAACAAAGAACATTTCACCTTGTCCACCTCAGGGTGCTCATGGTATAGTAGCTGAGATGCCTAAGGTAGAAAAGAACTATAACAAAATATGATATGTGCAATAATAGATGCATTTACAAAAGTAGACCATAACTCACAGGAAAAATTTAACAACTACTTCTGAGGATAGGTAAACAAGGATTCAGAGAGGAATGAAACCTTGAAAATTGTTTTGAAAGAGAAGCAGGAATTTTACAGACAGCCTTGGTTATAGTATTTGGGAGACCTGTATTCAAATCCCAGCCCTGCCATTTACAGATAGTGCAAACTACAACAAGTTTCTTAAATTCCCAGGGTCTTAGTTTCCTTGTATGGAAACTGGGAGTGGAGCTACTGATTTCTTTGAATTATCATGAGGACCCAGTGAATTGATGCATGCACAGAGCTTACATGGGGGCCAGCACAAAGTAAGCCCTCCCTGACTGGTAGCTGTCATTCCACTCTTCTAGACTCCCCCTATTTACCTGACTGCAATAACATGGGGCATTGGATTAGGGTTTAACATCAGCCACAGTAAAATCAGCTAGCATTTATTGAGCGCTTACTGCATGCCACACATTGCATTAAGAATTTCACTTGCCTTGTCTAAATCCACCCTACAACTCTTGGAAGTGGGGAAATTATTATCCTCATCTCACAGATAAGGAAACTGAAGCTTTGAGAATTTAAGGGATATGCCAACGTAGCAAGGTTAGTGATGGTATAGCTGAGTAACTGTCTGACTCCAGTGCCCATGGGCTGAAGCATTATACTATATTTCTTGTCATGCAGCACGCCATCATTAACTTGCTTCGCTCGATGAACTCGGCTGCTGGGTACTCCTGTTGCAGCCCATTCCGTGTGCCATCCCATTTCTTCTAAAGACATGGTTGTGGATGCTCGTGTGTGTGTGTGTGTGTGTTCACATGCTGTGTTGTTACTCCACACTGAGCTACCTGGCATTCATCCCTTGGGTCCTGTGCTTCCTTGCAGGTGAGCCATCTAGGTGGTCATCCTCGCACTGTGATTGCTGCTGCAAGAATGGCAAGGGTGACAAAGAAGGAGAGAGTGGCACCTCTTGCAATGACCTCTCCAGCTCCAGCTGCGACAGCCAGTCTGAGGCCAGCTCTCCACAGGAGACAGTCATCTGTGGGCCTGTGACGCGCCAGACCAACATCCAGACTCTGGACCGTCCCATCAAGAAGGGCCCCGTCCAACTGATCCAGCAGTCAGAGATGCGACGGAAAAGTGATCTGCTCCGGACTCTGACTTCGGGCTCCAGGGAGTCGAACGTGAGCAGCAAAAAAAAACCTGTTAAGGAAAAGCTCTCAATTGAGGAAGAGCTGGAGAAATGCATCCAGGATTTCCTGAAGATCAAAATCCCAGAGAGGTTCCCTGAGCGAAAACATCCATGGCAATCTGAACTTTTACGGAAGTATCATCTATAGTGGAGGGCGGGGGAGGTGGGAGAAGAAACAGATTGTGTCACCATTTTGAAGTAAACCTCCTAAAAGAAATTCATATTTGAAAAGAAAAACAATAACTAACAATACACGTTTGTTAGAATACAGTAGCCCATTGATATACTACTGCCTGTTTACCTAGTTCACCTTAACATGTCAATCCACAGGGTAGATTTCTTTCCAGATGTGGAAGTATAAGAATCTCTCTCTCTTCTTTTTGTTCTTTATTTGTTTGTTAACTTGGTCCCGTGTGCTGAGTATCTTACGTATAATGAGAGCCAGCTACATAAGTATAGCTGAGAGGCCTTGGGAATCATTTATCCCAAACTGGGTTTTGCTCTCCTCTTCTACCTCCCTCCTTTGAATGAGAATATGGTAGAGATCTGACCCATTGCCATAGGTCTGAATTTAAAAATTTTCCTTTTCCCTTTTGTTTATGGGGTAAGGGGGGAATGGCAGATTTATATGACTTTTCACTCAAATCAATTATGTGCCAGTTTATATTGACTCCGTATGCATGAGTATTCGTGCAACACAAGCCCAACAAAGTGTGTATATACACACAGTGCACGTGAGCCCAGGGCCTGGGCCTCCTAAGAGGTGTGCTTCTGCTCCCAGCAGCACCCTCTTAGAGTCCTTCAGACACAGGAGCCTCTGCTCTTATCTTAAAACCCTTCTTCGAAGATTTCCCATCCTCTCTTGGCAACACTTCCTAACATCAGAGAACCTTCATCATCAACAAATTACCTTCCTTATTTCAAAATTAACACCCTCAGGCTCCATTTTGCTGCGTTGCTCTTTCACTGCACTAGGAGAAGGTGAGAAGAGCTAGTCACATATTCTTTGTGTTTTTTTTAAAAAAACAAAACATCCCTAATCCGCAAAAATGACTGCAAAACGACCCCATGTGCAGCCTTCTCTACCCTGAGCTGAATTACCTTCCTTCTCGCAGTGTTTTCAGAGTCCTTACTGCCCACGTTTTCATCGTGTGGCCTTTTCACGTATTTCGCATTAAGTTCTCTGCATTCCCGTGTAGCTGTGGAAGTAAGAAAAACACACAGCACTTGGATGAGGTTCCAGCCTTTTGTTTTAAGAGGAAATTGTATTCCACACCCCTCCTAGTAATGTCTCATAACTTGTTCAAATTGCAGTGCTTCACTGTTACTTCCTTATATCCAGTTTTTTTTTTTTGCCTTTGGGATCTGGGATTTGGCTGTGTCCATACTAGGATTTGGCTGTCGTTTCTGTGATGTCTGTGAACAACCCAGCTAGATAACTGAAGCTCTGAAATTAAGACTTTGGCTTTCTGAACTGTCTCTCTTGATTATATCCTTCACCTATATAGACACAGCCAAAAAGATACTGTTAACAGCCATCCATCCATGTGACTCTGTATTCTATTAATGTACCAATAGTTTTTTCATAGACTTGTGGTAAGTGAAGATTAAAGGGCAAGTTTTTACTTTCAGCATTCCTTGTGCATTTCAGTGGGAACTGAAAATATAATTTGTCCATCATTAATTGTGTGCCAAGCACTACTAATTTTTTTTTTTTACTCTGTGTGTGTGTGTGTGTGTGTGTGTGTATGTGTATATGTATCACAGGTAATAAAGGCAACTGGATGATGTTTGTAGGAGGGAAACATAATGACCAATTGCTCCTTTTTGAAATCTTTCACTGATGCACATTTATCATGTAAGAGGTCTGTCTTGATTCCCGTTACTATTGCCCATTGAGTATATGGATATCTTTCTGAATTTTTATTAATTCTTACACCTGGGCAACAGACTCAGCCAATGTTTTCTTGTCCTGATGGTTCAAACGGACTTTACAGTTTTGCTGAAGTGGAAAAGAAAGGTCATTTGGGGAGCTGAGTTGTCAAGAGAATTATAACGATGAGTTTAAGTGGTGTTCTTTTTTTGCAGTAGTATATTAGCAGACGTTTAATCTTAACTACAACCTAGCTTTGTACCGTATGTCTTCATTCTTTTCAGTGTTTCTTTATACCACATCAAAATATCATATTAATAATAGAAGATTCTGCAAAGGATCATAGAACTTAATGGGCCAAGAAGTTGAATTTGGTGAAAATATCCCCAAACTCACTTTGGTCAAATGATTCTTATGGTCCTACTGGAAGTTCTGTCAAAGAGTTGGGGGTCTAACTAAAATGGCCAAAGTCCCAACTTTCTTAAATTTCAGACCTGATTGTCATGCCTTCAAGATAGAAACACACTAGTAAGAATTAGAGAACTAGTAAGATGACAGTCAACACACTACTCCTACTACATACTTTAAATAGGAAGTTAAACACTGCAAAAGAAAATGTTCATGGCATTATTTCTCTGTTCTTTGACCTGTCATGAATTTGTTTCTGTTTAGGCTGTCTTTATACCCCCAGTGAACAAAACCAGTGGTGGCAAGTCTGTTTAAAACAACAGTAACATTCTAAATGAGTCAGCTCTAGACTGATACACCAGATAGTCCAAGTAGCTGAAACAACAACATGGTGTTCATTTGTGTGGTTGTTGGTGTGGAGATGACAGTAGACCTGATCAGTAAAAGGCTCTGCAGAGGAACCGAGGCCATGGACATCTTCAGTCCTAGTTCAGGTGGAGTTCATGTGAGGTCTGTGTGGCCTGCAACGTTGGAGATGAGTTCTGGGTAAGTGAGTTAGAAGATGAAATGCTGTAGTGGCCCTGCACCATGAATCAGGCCCATTTTCCTGAACTTAAAATAGTTTGAAGAACTTTTAGTTCATTTCCGGACAGAACAATATATATGGCTCGCTTCTTGAATATTGGTTATGACAAGGGCAGATATGAAGAGACTAGTAGCATCAAATAGGTCAAATGAATAACGAATCATATGTGCAAAGCCCCTACTCAGGTAGCCTCCTAGAAAATTCTGCAATGCTAAAATCCATTGAGCTTGGGGAGGTCATTCTCTATGGTACATGGGTCTTCTGAAGGCAGAACTATATTTAAAATAAAGTCCCCCTACCCACTGTCAAAAAGGGAGTGTGTGTTTAGCAGGAAAGGGGGAAGACAGGAAAATAAAACTGTTGGGTCATTGTGGCAGTGTGCTCTCCCTCCCCCTGCTAAGAAAAAAATTGCCCTGAGATATGGCTATAAAACATCAAAGTGAAGTGGTTTCCAAAAGTTGCAGTGATGTTATCCTTTGTAATTGTAGGCACAGTTACCTTCCTGGAAATACATGCATGATGAATTATATTAAAAGGGGAACAATTCACAAACCGTAAGTGTTCCCTTTGTTCTTTATTCCTCCATAGCTATGTCTACCCCCAACCAATTTGCAGGGGTTACATCTATCAAAGGGGAGCTAACAAGGATTTTTTCACTTTTCCATTGGCCTTGTTTGGGGCACCTTTATCCATAGGCACAGACCAGATGTGTATTGTTCATTTGGGGTCCTCTTAGTTCCCACTGTTTGTGCTTCTGGATTACTTTTGCTTCTCTGATTATCCTTTCTGATTCCTTTAGATTTAGATTCCTTCCTGATTATCCTTTGTCTGTGCCAAGCAAAACATGCTCCAGTGAGACAAAGAAAAGGCATATGTGGTGTTTTGCAAAATTACTTGACCCCAACTCCCAAAATGGGAAACAAACTTTGATTCTCATATATTTTTCTCTGTTACAGTTTCAAAGTTCCAACTTTGTATTTATAGTGTCTCAATCCAGAACACTTAAGTGCTGGTATTTTCTGCCACGAGCTATCATAACGTGCAACTTGACTTGTCTTGGTCTTCTGGAGGATATTTCCTAGATTTAAAACTCTGTGAGCTTTTAGGAAGAATCGTTTGTCACCTTCACGTGACATGGCAATTTTCAAAGGAAAAATGATGGGAGTTATTTTTTCCCCCATGACTCTGTGGCAGATGAATGTTTTTGCCAATTTGCATGCTGGGTTATACGTTTAGCATGGGCCGTTTCTCTCTTAATGTCTTGGTACTGTTGGCATCTTGCAATCTTGATGGCCCACTGTTCCAATTTATTTATTTTCTCTTATATTGTCAAAATAACACAAGAGAGAAAGAATCAGAGTGAGCATTCTGTATTCTGAGGTAATATGGAGTTAGATGTCGTTTGAACGGGACTGTACAATGATTAATATCTGCAGAGAAATTAGACCAAATGAAACCTGCTGAAGTGGGTTTGATTTATATTACCTTCATCATTCTGATTTTAGAAGAAATGGTTATTGCTCTCCACCCCTGCTGAAAGAAAAGAGTGCTTGTTAAACTTTAATAATCACAGCTTTGTGATGCAAGCACAAAGCTTATTTGTTTGGAATGTCTGTTTTTCTCATCTTGCCATATACATTGGAATGGAGATTCTTCCCCTAGTGATCTCCACTGCAGAAGTTTTGGCAGTGTTTCCAATACTCAGCATGCATAAAATCATTTGCAGCACTTGCGTAAAAATGCAGATTCCTTGACCCTAACCCCAGAAAGTCTGACTCAGAAACTTCAAGCGGGGCCAAGGAATCTGCATCTTGGGCTATCATCCTTAATGGTTTCGATGAGATGGTCTGTGGACCTTCCTTTGAGAAACTCTGCTCTTTAGGGACTCTGCAGAGGTCAGCATTTCTCTCACTTCCTAGTGGCGCTTCCTCTCACTTTCTTTCCACTACAAATGAGTCAAAGCATGCATAATTCATTATCTTAAGAAAAAAGACCCAAAGAACATTCTAGGACTAGGGCAGAGCAGGTTTCCATAATTTGTTTGCCCTTTCATCTGCCTGTCAATCATAACATTTTCTTCTTTTTGTGTATGTTTGATGTTTGTGCCTTTTTTTTTTTCCAAACTGAAAACCTACATCAATATAGTTTTATGGCTGGGTAGATGGGAGCACATCTCTGAGTGAGATGTGTCCTAATGATACCCAACAAAATAATGACCTTTTCCAAAGAAAGTTGTTCATTCCTAGGCCCTTTTACAGTTTGAGTCAGAGGAACCTTAGAGTGATCCATAATGTAATGATGTGTATGGCCCCAAAGGGGGTTCCAATAACTGCACATACAAGCCACTAAAATGAATATGGAATGTTTAGTGAATTTAGCTCTACTTCACGGATGAAATCCTGAGTCATTGTATTGCTAAGTTTGTCCAATTTGATTCAAGCAGGACTAGGAAGTTCTCAGAGTTGAAGACCCTGAACCCCAACATTAACTAAAAACTTCAAGCAAAATCCATGGGGGATAATACATTTTTAAAAAAGAAATAAGGAGTGGTTTCAAAATTCCATTTGTAATGACATGAAATTCTCTAATTTTCCAGTCACTCTGACTAGGAGAGGTGGCCGTACTATGATTATTCAGAAAGAAAAACATTTTGGAGGTTTCAATGACCCAGTTGGTCCTATCCATGTAACACAGTAACTGGAGATGTACCAGATTCCCACATGCAACGGGAAATAGAGAATAGATGGCTTAAATTCATGCTTGTCATGATATTAGTTAATATTTAAGTAAAAACTACTATGAAAGGAAAGTGAAGAGTGCTTAATGAAACGAATGCACTTTTTGCCACTAATTAAGATTATTTGGCCAAGAATTTTTTTTAAATCTTAAATTTGATTCAGTTTCTTTTCCCTCCTTTACTTCCCAAGGGAAGTTTACTTCTCTTTATCCCCTAGCTTCCTAACCTTTAAAAAAAATGTTCTTCTTGTTTGTGAACAAATTGTGTTGTTTATTTGATAAAGAATTTTTAGTTCCTAGACTGTCATCTTTGCTTTATTTAGGGAATTTACTTTGAAAAGCCTGAAGAAAAATGTGTCCCAGTCCAGTGATTATCAAGGGGTTTTTTCTGGGGGAGTGAGGAGGTGATTTTCCGGTTAATCAGCCTTCTAAAAGCGCTTACACGCCAACTGGAGGATTAAGTAAGTCTCCTCTCTCCAGCGACCTCTTCCGTCTTGTCAGTTTATTCTTAGAATTGACCTTTAGCTAATTTACCTGCACTTGCACAATAAAAATCAACATAACTGCAGACTCTCTTATTGCTGTTGTTGGCTGCACCCACCACAAATGGAAGAGGATTGATGCGCAACTAAGTAGTGGAGGAGAACTGCTTTATAATTGTGTCTGTGTGTGTATGTGTCTCTGCGTACACATACATGTGCAATTTTTAGGTCAGTGTTGGGTCGGTGGCTAGTGCCCATGGTAATGCTATCCAAGTTCAGGGAAAAAGTCTTTGGTCACAAAGTTTAACAGCTTTTAATTCAGCACAGTCGTTTGTCAATACTTGAGAAGGTTGAGTAAAGCTGGTCTCCTGATACAAAATTCAAACGTTACAGATTTCTGGATGAAAATCAAACTCATTTTCATTTATATAGTCACTAGTGACATCATACTCAAAGAAAAGAAGAAAAAAAGGAAAGAAAAAGGAAGCCTTGAAAGCTAAAATATGCATAGAATTCACATTGATCACTAGCAGTTTTTCTCAACTACAGCCAGTGGTCAGTGGTTTTTCTTACATGTGAGAGACAGAAACACTTTCAGGAAAGGCTCTGATTTGCGTGGGTTATGTGCATTTAAGGCAGTGACTCTCATCCAGGCGTGATTTTGCACCCCAGGGGGCTTTTGGCAATGCCTGGGGATATTTTTGATTGTTGTGGCTTGAGAGGTGCTACTGGCATTCAGTGAGTAAAAACCAGGGATGCTGCTAAACATCCCACCATGTACAAGACAGCCCTCACAACAAAGAGTTATCCAACCCCAAATGTCAATAGTGCTGAGGTTGCGAAACCCTGAGTTAAGGGTTGGCTCAGATTTTCCAAGGCATTCTTAACCATGTAGAGAAAGACTTCTGGGCCAAGGGATAGGATGAAATGAATGATAATAATTTGTACCACCTGAAATCTGTGTAAGGTTTATTTATTATCCCTTTATACAGATGTGAATGCTGAGATTTAGAGACAAATATGTCATTTTTTTCCAGGGTTCCAGTAGTGATGAAGCAGGCCTATGATCTAACTCTGTCTTCTACTTAAATCTTTTTCTGCCTCAGAAAAATGATACTTCAGTGAAGTTATCAACCTTAAAACAGCTAAATGTGTTTGTTGTGAAGCACTTTGGGAGCGTTCTGAGTTCGTGTGACCCGATTAAGGATGCTTTTCAAGCTGATCAACAGTAGAGAGCAAGGTGCTCTCAGAAAGGAAACAGGAAAGGGGGGGCAAGGGTGCTTAGAACAGGCCAACAATTCCACCTTTATCTGCTCGTTGTGTACTTTGTTTCTTTGGGTCGAACATCCTCACTAAAGATGATATCTAGATCTTGGAAAATATGATCCTCAGACCCACACAGATGACCCCCATGCCCACGTTTTCAGAGCTATGACAAGTCTAAGCAAGGCCCTGGCTACTGAGCCTCATTATTTCATTTACTTGTACTGACCTCATCAGAACACAAAGCAGGTTTGTACCTTAAATAATTTGGCATTTTTCTTTTAATTTATCACACCAACATCACAGTGATAGAATAAAGGTCCAATCATTCTACCTCCATTTCGTACAAGGGAAACTGAAGACCCAGAGAGTTGAAGTCAGACATTCATTTATTCATTTGTTCATGCATTCACTCAGCAGGTATTTGTTTAGTGCATTCCGTGTACAGGTCACCGTGATGAGCATTATAATCTACTAGGGAATCGAACTTGGGATACAGAACTTGAATTCAGATCAAGTTCGCATCCTAGGCTAACATTATTTTTGTATGTAACTCTGATCAACGTTCTAGATTTATGGTTTAAATTTTTTTAAAATTTATTTATTTATTTATATTTGGCTGTGTTGGGTCTTTGTTGCGGTGAGTGGGCTTCTCATTGTGGTGGCTTCTCTTGTTGCAGAGCATGGACTCTAGGCATGTGGGCTTCAGTAGTTGTGTCATGCGGGCTCAGTAGTTGTGGCTCGCAGACTCAGTAGTTGTGGCTCGCTGGCTCTAGAACATAGGCTCAGTAATTGTGGCGCACGGGCTTACTTGCTCCACAGCATGTGAGATCTTCCCGGACCAGGACCCGAACCCGTGTCCGCTGCATTGGCAGGCGGACTCTCAACCACTGCGCCACCAGGGAAGCCCTATGGTTTAAATTTTAAGTTATAAACAATGTAGACTACGAACTTGTTATGCGCTAGAAACTCTACTACGTGTTTTCTATGCCTTATTTAATCCTAGAATAACGTAATGAGGTAGATCTTGTTACTCTCCTCTTTTTCACAGATGAGGTCAGTGAGACTCAGAAAGGTAAAGCAGCACCTAGCCTGACAACGGCAGAGACAGATTTTCATCTGGGTTTATTAGACTCCCAAGGCTGACAGCTTCACCACCTCATGACATAAGCTCTTCTTCTCTGTTTTCTGGATTTCACCTTTTTATAGTTTCTTCTGCTCTAAGCAAAAGGTAGCCAGGATGATTCCGGCCTGACATCCTTCCTGCAAGTTGTTTGCTATTTTGAGTTGCAAGTTCCACTGGACAGGCATATCCCTAGGAGATCAAGGAAAAAAAGATTTTGGGGGTACCACAGACTGTACTTAATGGTAAAAGCCCTATCAGGGGGCTTTGTTGTAGAACAGGTATCTAGTGAGTACTGAGCCCTATGAAACCCACAGTGGTAAGATAGCTTCCATGTCAGGAGGATAGCGCCCTCAGCTGCTGGCTGTGCTGTTCA